CTTTTCCTCTTTACATACGAGGAGAACGAGCCCAAGGTTGATCTATCCCGTGTTAGCCCTGGTATCTTTGTTTGTTATATCTATTTCCTTATGTGATGCGGAAGCCAAGAGCATGACTTCTAACTGTGATGTACACTCTCGAGAGATCCTTTTGGTACTCCAAGGCGTTGTTACAGTAGAAGATTACCCGGTATGCTGCAAACACCCTTGTACCATCAACTCTTCTCAATATCATACCAGCTGCAGCAGGGCCATCGTTGGCTGAAAATGATCTTTCAACCAAGAAGGCCATTCGACCACATATATTAACTGATAATAATATTCTTACAATCGTTTATTAAAACTTACACCACACAAGGCGAACACTACTTACAAGAACACCACCAGATTTATCAAAACATTTTTTCACGATCTCATCCGCCACCATGTTGGCTTGCTGATTAATCTTGTATAGTTTTATAATTACCAGCGCTTCTCCGTTTAGATCAACGAGGGGGGACCTAACAAGAATTTTATTTGCAAGGAAGGAACACAAAAGAGCAACATGTTTCCAGAACAATAGGTTTGTACAGAGTGACACCGATGTAGAATACAACCTAACACGCAGGAAGCTCCACTTCTTCCACACTGGATCATCAAGCAATATAGTTCAACAGAAATCATGACTTCGCCAACAGAATTGCTCGCCACTACGCCTACACTAGCAAAGCCATTGCTCGCCACAAAATTGGCATCCACATTCATCTTAATATGATCAGGTGGGGGCGGACAACGAGTCACAATGCTCATGTTGGAAGGATAGATAGACCGAATCACGACCAACACTCCCCATCCTTTATTACTACCTCTATTCCGGTGTATAAGTCATTCACGTAGTTATAGGTCAACAATTTAACTATGTAAATATGTATTATATGTGACCAAAAAAATATATTTATAAACTACATCTGTGTAGAAATCTAAGGATATACTTTTCATGACATATAACACATATTGAGTTTCTCAAATCGATGACCTAGAACTTCACGAATGACTTATACATCAAGACGAATGTAGTATTAAAAAGCCACAACATTCGCATAATAACAACCCAACTTAGCTATCCACAAAATAAGTGGATTCGAGGACAGATTCCTTTCTCTCGCCCAAAATCACCGCCTTCGCCCCAGACGATGTGACCTGCACACGCAAAGCCCTACCCAACGAATCCAACAAAATTAGTAGCTGTGGATTATTAAAAAACCTCTTCCCCAAAGGAAATCCCAAACATCTCTCATAGACATATGGAGGGCACAAGCCTTCTTACAAGATACAAAGGGCATGGCACGCATTCGTCCTCTTCACGCCACAGATAGAGCACACACCTCAGAAAATTTTATGGTGAACAACTCAAAAAACTCTAATTTTTCGAGGCATTAGCATTCCAAATGATATGCTAAGGCCGTCTATATCCATTCACACTACCATTCAATTGCCCTAGATCCTCGTTCAAGATTCAGCGCAAGTTTATATGCACTTTTAATCAGGATTGGGCAAAGCATTAGTGTTAAAAGGATCTCTCACTTAACCTTGGAGATCACCCCCGCGCACGTCCCCCGCGCGTCACCTCTGGCGCACGGGGGAACCCTAACCGCGCCGCCAGCCGCCCCTTCCCGCTCATCCCCCGCTTCGCCGCCGCCGGAGGGGACACCGGCGAAGCCCGCGTGGTCCACAGGGAAGGTGGCGGCGGGGCGTCCTTGTCGTTCTCGCGGCTGCCGGTGGCACGCGGTGGCGTTCCGCTGGTGGCTGGCGCCTGCTACCCGTGGGGCGGCGTCCCTCACGACGGCAGGGTTGCCCCTGAACGGTGCTTGGTGGTGGCCACGTGGCGTTGCGCGGGTGGGCCGGATCTGGGCTTCTGGTCTGTGTCCTCGTCATGGCAGCGCTTGCCGTTGCCCTCGGCCATGAGACGTGGTGCTGGCTAGGACACACGCTGGCAGTGCCCCACTTCATCTCGCTTCGTCTCGCTGGCCAATGGTGATGGTCATCTTCTTCGTCAGAGATGGCCGACCAGAGGCTTGGTGATCGGATCTCGAGATCCATTATCTAGTCCCGTCTGCAAGTTGGGGAGACATGGTTGCCGATGAAAACCGAGCCATTGGCAGGCGATGGCGGCGTTCTACGCCGTTACCTTGATGGAGGCATCATCATGTAACTACTGTTGACCCACTCGTGCTGCTTTGGGGGAAACCCTAGGATCTGGTGTTCCAGATTGGACGATGGCGGCACTGCGGTGTCGTTTCTCTCTTGGGAGCATCGTTTGTGGAGCAGCGCTGGAAGTCAGAGGCAGGAGGTGGAGCGGCTACGTCTTGCACGGAGTTTCGGTGGAGATGTTAAGTCATGCCTGACCGACAGGTGCTACGCTTTGTCATGTCTAGTCGGCAGGTGCTACGCATGACAGATCTTCCAAAGACTTCAAGTTGTGTCGGTTGGTGGTACTTGGCAGCATGGTGCTGAGGTGTATCAGTGGTGACCGCGACGTGCACAGCTATTTGCGCGCAGGGAGGAGGTGCCGTTGGGCGCCATGGTGGCGTCGATGATAGCTAGACCGAGCAAGGTTGATGCATTAGTACAGTTCTGAAGATGGAGCGGTGGCAGTTGACGGCGGCGGCCTCTGAGAGCACGTCAGACCAGCGAGACCCATGCCCGACAAGCGTCCTGGATGGATCCTCGGGTCTTAGATGTTAGGTTTGACCGCGATGTCTGTTTGGTATTAGGCCCAGGCTATCTGCGTCCCTTCATCAACTAGATAGGTGTAGCGACAGTTTGTTGCTTAGACGGCGGCTTTAGTCTTACTATGGTATTACTTTGTAAGGTCTTGTGAGAGTAATTAATAAAGTGGCCGTATGCATCGCCCAGATGCAGAGGCCGGGGGTCATCCTCCTTTTCTAAAAAAACCTTTTAATCAGGAAATATACCATTCCTCTCATAGTGCTACGGCACAACGTGTTTCATCGCGAGAATCTACATTGTTGTCCAAGCAGCATGTTGGTCGTAGCCCTAGCCGAGGGCGACACGAAGAGCATCGAGGGCTCTTAGAGCATCTACAACCGAACCTCTCAAACCCACCTCATACGTCCGGATGGGTCACCCGGTCACTGATCGGTCATGTTTTTTCGATCCATACGGACGCCTCAAACGAGCCTCAAACGCCCGGGCTGACCGGCACCCCCCATATCCAACCCAAATATAGGACGGATATGGGGGCGCCCGGGCGCACCTGGACATGCCCGTCACGTCGGACTGACGAAGGGGTCCCAACCAAAAATGCCCTCAAACCCGGCGGTCCAAAGCTCGTCTCCTCCGTCGGACCGGTGGGCCCGCATGGCGCAACTCCAGTGGGCCGTGTAGTGCATTGCCGGCTATTTAAGTCGACTGGCGGCACCAAAACCCTGCCATTCATCCACATTTTCTTCCTCCTGTCCGCCGTCGCCACCACTTTCCACTCCACCCGTCCGGCTAGTAGCCATGCCCCCACGCTATCAGGTGAGGAGCGAGCCATTTCTGACGCCAGAGCGCCGGCTCGAGCTCCTTGAGCAGATCCAGGCTAGGCGTGAAGCCCGGATCGTCGCGAGGCTACCTCCGGATGGAGTGGGTCCGGAAGGGGAGTTGGAGGAGGACGACGACGAGGAGGAGGAGGAGAAGGACTTTAAGGAGGAGGTGGATGAGCTAGAGGAGAATGATGTGGGGGACGCTGGCGACAGAGATCTGCAGGCGGAGCAGCATGCCATCCTCGATTCCCTCTGGTCGGAGTCGGCTGCGGAGGCAAAATGCCGTTGCCGGGGGGAGATGGAGGCGCAAGAGGCCACGGAGGAGGCGGAGATGTTCGCATATATGGATGTGGTCGAGCAGGAGGAGGATGAGCTGGAGCCCTCCTACCCGCCCTCCAGCTGGCGCCCGTCACCGTCGTTGTTGACATCTCCGACGATGAAGAGTAGTTAGGGTGTACGTAAATGTAGAATATATGATTTCTTTTGTATGTTTTGTATGAATCTAAGAGATGAAATATAAAGGAGATGGATGCAAAATGATTAATTTGAGACGTGCATCTACGGGTGTTTGATGGGCCCGATTTGCAAAGTCCGCAGGTAGATACTCTTTATATCGTCGGCCCTGGCATCTGGGTCATTCCACTACACCACTTGCACTGGTTTGTCGCATATTATTGTACTGTAGCAGTCCTCGAATCACATAATACAGTACATGGGTGGAGTAAGGGATAAGGAGGACGATCGGCTGGCTGGCTTTGCGGCAACCTCATCACTCGTATCACTCGTACTGCTTTATTATTACCAAATCAAGCAGCAGAGAGTATGCGCGAAGTGACGCGACAGAAAAAACGTGGCGATAAGTTCGATCGATGACGACATGTGCACGGTTAAGCAAGGTGAGTACGTACTTAACAAATGAATGAATCCATATCAGAGTGCATGCATATTTTGGAGACTCTGAGAAAGATATAAATACAGTGCGTGCATGGGCAATTTACGCCTGAAACCGTAAAAACAGAGTTCGTCAAAGCAAAATACACATAAAGGAAAATGACGACTAGGCAGTAAATATGTACTACTCCGTCTCTCATAATATGAGACGGTGACGGAGGGAGTACATATTGCAATCGAGAAAGGGCTGGGATTGTATCCTTCCAATCCCGGATATTTTCAATTGCAATTCTTCTAGCAGTTCATCCATGTTTGTCGCGCATATGCTTCCCCCCCTCACCACCATCTTCAGCATCTGGACGCACTTTGTACGTCAAGATTGCTACACAAGTTGAAGATCACTGCAGTAGGATCGTCGGGAAATCTCAGCCTAAACCGCAGCGCATTACTAATCGCCTAGCACACATATGTTCCCCACGAAGCACAATCTTACGCTGGGACGATGGAAAAGAGGTATCGTCCCAAGATGGCATTACCTGTGCGATATGAGCGGCAGCACAGCAGCCAGCAAGGCGACGCTAGCTAAAGGCGCAGCTCGAGGTCCAACGCCTCGCCGGCGCCGCTTGCGATGGAGGCCCTTGGCCGGCCCACCACGCCGTCGCCTCCAGCATACGGGTCCAGGGGCAGCGCCTGCTCCGCGAACCGCGGAGCCCTGCCGCCCAACCCCCTCCTCTCTGGCCAGCGGGCATCGACGGTTGGCGCCGCCGCCACGCCAGCGCCGTCGTGTGAGACGATGGACGTGCCAAAATAGCGCGACGACCCGGTGGACGCCGCCGCGATGGCGGTGCCTCCGAATGGGCTGTCGTTGCTGTAGGGGTCGGAGAGGAGGCCGTCGAGGCGGCCCTTGCGGTGCGCGTTCTGGTGGCCGCCGAGCGCCTGCGACTTGAGGAACGTCTTGTCGCAGAAGAGGCACTGGAACAGCCGCACCGGCTTGCCGTCCACGCACGCCATCGGAACCGGTTTTTCGTCCCGCTCCCGGTCTTGGCTGCTGCCCGCCGGCGCCAACGCCAGCGACAGCTCCGGCACCGCCGCCGCCGCCTGCACGTGGAACCACAGATCCTTCCCCATCGAATCGAAGTATATGTATTTCAATTTAGCTCAGGCAGGTGCTACAGTAGTCGCTCGTCGTACTGCACAACACAAGAAAATATTGGCTACCGAGCGGATGATAGCTAGGAATGGTAACGGCGACGCTTCTCTAATGGAAAAAGGAGTATGCTATGGACTGAGCTGACCTGAGAATGAGATCCGATTTGATGGGTATAAATAATGCTCTGAATCTGAATCCTCGTTCCATGGCAAATTTGACAATTTTAACCTTGAGACGAAATCAAATCACAGAATGAACTACCCATGAAACTATTTCACGCGGTTGATCTTTTTTGTGGCGCCCGACACGCAGACGCCACACCCTACAGTGCAGCGCCTAGCTCTGGGGCGTTGCATCTCTGTCCACCATGGCAGCCCCTGGGTCCGCACCTAGCAATGCAGCGCCTAGCACTCGGGCGCTGCACTGTCTGTTACTAGTTGGCTGGCCCCCTCCCCTCACCCCACACATCCCTACCCCTATAGCATCTGACCCGAGGTTTGCCCCCTCTTCCCCTCTCCCCTCCTCTTAAATCCTCTTCCAACTCTTGCAAATTTGAAGATTTTGTCTGTGGATTTCGAACTCAAACCTTCCCTCAAGGTAATCTTCTCCGATCCCCTTGTTTTGATCCAAATAATGTTAACAAATTGCTCATTTGTTGCTAGTTTGGGGAAACCCTAGTTTTGTATGGATCTAGAGATTTGCATGGAGATGTGAGATGTTCGTTTGCCAATTTCCTATGATTAGGCTTGTTAGTATGTTAGGGTTATTTTTATGGGTGTTCTTATGTTGGTGCTAAGGTTAGGGTTGTTGTTTCATATGTATTTTAGGGTTTGTATACCGTGTTAATCCTTGGATTATAACTCATGGAAGCAATGTTACGTTGTGTTGTTTGAATGCTTATAGGGATGGGAAGAACATGTGTGTTTGTTCATCATGGGGACAAAGACGCCTTCTTGAAAGGCAATATTGAACCAGACCCGGATGAGTTTGACATGGTGTTTGATAGTAGTCCTAGCTATGTGGAGCTCTTGCAACAAGTGAGGAAAGAGTTGAATTGGATGGACCCTAGTGATATCGTTGAGTTGGAGGGAAGGCATAATGTTGGTTTTGGAATGCACATCCGTTGGAATACAATGCGTGTCAACTCGGAGCAACGTTGGGTTGCATACAAGGAGACGTTGGTCGAATCACTAGACAAGGCTCTTGAGTTATTTGCAACGAAGAAGGTTGATTCAAGTTTGCATTTGGACTTGAACCGGAACCCCTCCCCTTTGGTTGCTAGTAGCCCCCCACCCTTGAAGTGAGATGAAATTGTTGAACCTCTTTTGACCCAAGAAGTGAGGCCAACATTGAGCACATTTCCATACAACCAAAATGAAGCTTTGCAAGAGGAGAATGATGAGTATGCGGACGATGACAATGAAGTTGATCTCCATGACAACAATGTGGGTGATCTCGACAAATATCATTTGCAAGAGGCAATGGACCATTCCATCACTTATTCCCGTGGCTATGCATTGGATTCGGATGACGAAGGTCCCGATGAACAAGTTGATGAGGAGGGGTTCACGGTGAAGGAGGCCGAAGCTTTTGAGAAGGTATTCGGTCGTGATCATCGGACTACATTGTTCAAGGATGTTAGTATCACGGATGAAGTCGTGGTAGATGGTGGCCAAGGTATATCTCTTGGAGTTAGGCCAAGATCCCACCGTGATTTGGATGATGGCAAGAACGGGATTGCTAAAGGGTCTAAGTTCGATACCTTCTTGGAATTGAAGATGTGGCTCAAAAACTACTCGGTTACGCATTATCGTCCACATAAGGTGGTGAACTCGGACGTCAATGTGCGCTACACGGTTGCATGTGCATGTGAAGATGAATATGTCCGTGGATTGTGCGTGCAAGACCATGGAAAGGAGGTCCCACTTGGCACGTAGTGAGTTGTGCGCCAACTCACATGTGCCGAGGCAAAAGGGTGGATGACAAGATTGTGTCCCAAGACCACAGACAACTCACGTCCGAGTTCATCGCTTACAGGCTCTCCAACTCAATATCCACACTTCCAACAATGAGCGTCCAACATGTCATTGACCTTGTAAAAGCCATTTTTCATTACAAGGTGAAGTGCGGCAAGGCATGGAAGGCGAAGCAAGCCGCATTTAAGATGTTGTATGGTACTTGGGAGGAAGCATACAACCAAATCCCTAGGTTGTTGTTAGCCATGGCCACCACAAACCCAGGCATGGTTCATGTGGTCGAGCCTCATGGGGAAAAAACAACGTTTCATGAAGGAAGGGAAGTCCAAGTATTTGGCCGTGCTTTTTGGGTGTTCAAGCAATGCGTGAGGGCTTTCAAACACTGTAGGCCAGTCATCGCCATTGATGGCACATTCTTGACTAGACAATACAAGGGCACCTTGTTGGTTGCAATAGCAAGTGATGCCAATAACCAGGTGTTGCCATTGGCATTTGCTTTGGTTGAGGCGGGGAACAATGACAACTGGGAGTGGTTTTTGCGTCTTTTGAGGACGAAGCTGTTACCCGCTCAGAGGGAAATATGTGTCATATCAGATCAGCATCAAGGAATTCTTAACGCGGTGGAGATTGACATTCCCGGGCATGCTCCGTTGCACCATCGATGGTGCATGAGGCACTTTTGTTCCAACTTCTATAGGGCATGTGACCTTAAGGAGTTGGCCGATGATCTTCAAGATTGTTGTCTCGCTGAGGGAGTCCTGGATTAGGGGGTCTCCAGACAGCCGGACTATATCCTTTGGCCGGACTGGTGGACTATGAAGATACAAGATTGAAGACTTCGTCCCGTGTCCGGATGGGACTCTACTTGGCGTGGAAGGCAAGCTAGGCAATACGGATATGCATATCTCCTCCTTTGTAACTGACCTTGTGTAACCCTAGCCCCCTCCCGTGTCAATATAAACTGGAGGGTTTTAGTCCGTAGGACAACATACAATCATACCATAGGCTAGCTTCTAGGGTTTAGCCTCTCTGATCTCGTGGTAGATCAACACTTGTAATACTCATATCATCAAGAACAATCAAGTAGGATGTAAGGTATTACCTCTATCAAGAGGGCCCGAACCTGGGTAAACATCGTGTCCCATGCCTCCTGTTACCATCCGCCTTAGACGCACAGTTCGGGACCCCCTACCCGGTATCCGCCGGTTTTGACACTGACATTGGTGCTTTCATTGAGAGTTCCACTGTGTCGTCACCATAAGGCTCGATGGCTCCTTCGATCATCGCCAGTGATGCGGTCCAGGGTGAGGCTTTCCTCCCCGGACAGATCTTCATATTCGGCGGCTTTGCACTGCGGGCCAATTTTCTTGGCCATCTGGAGCAGACTGAGAGCTACGCCCCTGGCCATCAGGTCCGATTTGGAAACTTAAACTACACGGCCAATATCCGCGGAGACTTGATCTTCGACGGATTCGAGCCTATGCCGGACGCACCGCACAGTCACGACGAGCATGTCGTAACTCTACCGTCGGACACTGTTCAGGAGATCACATCCGCAGCTACTCCGGCTTTTAATCTGGAGCAAGTCGCGCCATCCGAGAGTGGAGGGATGGATCCCGCCATGGAGGCCGCACTCTCAGCGGCGATAGAGCCGGATACTGACTTCACCCCTTACGAGAGCCGTGTCTCCGAACCACTGGATTCATCTTCAGCCACGGACTCCGAGCCACTCGGATCCGTGCCCGTCGAGTCTGACTGGGTGCCGATCATGGAGTTCACCTCCGCGGATATGTTTCAGCACTCACCTTTTGGAGATGTGCTAAATTCATTAAGGTCTCTCTCCCTGTCAGGAGAACCTTGGCCGAACTATGTCCGGCTAGAATGGGATGCGGACGATGAAGAAATTCGCTGCCCACCCACCACCCACTTAGTAGCCACTGTCGACGACTTAACTAACATGCTCGACTTCGGCTCCGAGGACTTCGACGGTATGGACGACGAAGCCGGAGACGAATAGGATCCACCGCCCTCGGGGCATTGGACCGCCACCTCATCATATGATATATATATATGGTGGACACCCCCAAAGAAGCCAATGGCGAGGAGAAAGCGGAGGATGACCCCTCCAAGAAGCAACCCAAGCGCCGACGTCAGCGGCGCCGCTCTAAGTCCCGTCACAGTAAGAGCAGCGATACCGGCACAGGAGATAGATAGCGTCGAAGACAACAACAATCCCCTCCAGCACGACGAAGAGCTGGAAGACGAACAAGCTAGCCCCTAGAGCAGGTAGCAAATGGAGAACCAAAGGAGGACAATTACATGCCTCTCTCCGAAGACGAGGCGAGCCTCGGCGACGACGAATTTATCGTGCCTGAGGACCCCGTCGAGCAAGAGCGCTTCAAGCGCCGGCTTATAGCCACGGCAAATAGCCTAAAGAAGAAACAACAACAACTTCAAGTTGATCAAGACTTGCTAGCAGACAGATGGACCGAAGTCCTTGCGGCCAAGGAGCATGAACTCGAGCGCCCGTCCAAGAGTTACCCAAAACGCAGGTTGCTACCTCACCTCGAGGAGGAAGCATTCAAACCTCATTCACCAGTGTACAATGCGGCTGACCGGCCACTACGCGGCCGAGCCAGAGAGGCGTTTCAGCCCAAAGTTCAGCCCGCACCACGTCGCCACTCAGTCAAAGATACTAAGGCCCGGGGCAACACAGAGGACCTGCGAGACATCTTGGACAACAAGGCAAAAATTGCAAGGTCAATATATGGGACACGAACACGTGCGCCCACACGGGACGATGATCGTTGCGTCGGATACACCAAGAGCAAATCCGGTCGGGCCGAATACAGTAGGCAAGACTCATACGAACTACGTCGGGATATAGCCCGACACAGAGGCGCCGCACACCCCCTATGCTTCACTGATGAAGTTATGAATCATGAATTCCCGGAGGGTTTCAAACCCGTAAATATCGAATCATACGACGGCACAACAGATCC